CCCGACGTATGATTAACGTAGTCTTCCATGATTTTCACATAAGAATAATTTATGTAGCAACAGAAACTCAAATTTCATCCTACCAGGTCAACCGGTAGTAGTCCTACTTATTGTGAAACATGACTGTTAAACTTGTCCTTTTTTCCCAGGACTTCTGACTCTCTGCTTGGCTGAGTTGTTTTTATTCTGCAATATTTACCCTGAAGACATGTTTTTTTTATAAAAAAAAAGTTGTATTATCCTACTTGTCAATTATGACAAGTTATTTAAAAACGCAGAAAGAATGCAGTTCCCCTAAGCGTCTGATATGTAAACACTAAGAAGTCAACTAAGAATGCTTTTATTTTTGGTCATTATGATAACCAATATTATAATATACATGAAAAACTTACTCAGTTCTGATTGCTTAAGATAAATGCGGTTTTCAGGGAATTCAGTGCAGAAGAGGGTTAATTTAGTGCAAAGAAAGTAACAAACGAGACATTCTCATTGGTCAATAATCAAACAAACTCGCAGAATTATTAAAACGCGGGACAATTATATTATTACTCCTTCGAAAATTTTATGTGGTGCATGATTTGTTTGTTAAGTATGACAGAGCCGTGGGTGCTTCACATGTAAACACGCTGTGGATTAGTTTAATTAATCGAAGTTTAGAAAAAGAGGGTTAAAGTATTTCAGTTCGAATGTCGGTAAACTTCCTCAGTAGGCATATCTCGGGGCAAGTTGTATATAATTCTGGCCGCCCTGCGGTGAGGTACTTCTAGCGAATGTAGAAGCTCTGCATTAGGGCAGCCGCCCCAGACGACTCGTCCGTCTAAAACTGATGGTGGTATTATCTTGAAGTATAAGTCCAACGGGGCATTTCCGTTCAAGAACGGACCCCTTTTCAATAAGCAAAGTTTGTTTACAAAATTCTTTTTTACATTAGTAAGGTGGTGGGTCCATGAAAGTCTCTCGTCGATAGTAACACCCAAAAGACGAGAGTGTTTCACCCACTCGATCCGATCCTCCCCAATTGTAACCGAATTTAGTGGCCCGATGTGCGGTTTCCTCATCAACAGCATAGCTTCATACTTTGCCGAGTGAGGGGTTAAAGAGTTCTCTAAGCACCAACTGTTCAATTCCGATAAAGCTCTGTTTAAAGAAGTGACAGTGTTTTCGACAGTGTCCCCGATGCAGTAAATGATTTTTCTCGTGCAATTTGGAATAAATAAGCACTCGTAAATTTTTTCAAAGACCACAAATTGCATTCGCCCTACGAGCTCATGCAATTTTGTTAGTCTTTGAAAATAATTACTCGTGCCTATTTATTCCAAATTGCGCCCGAAATCATGGGATTACCTATACTAATCGAGTTCTCGTGTCTTTTGAAAAACCGTCTGTTTTGTACTTGGATTAATCAAAGCTAATGGAAAATTTTTCAAAAGGCAATTCTTATTTCATCATATATTTCAAACTAAGAAAGTATTATCTCTTTTTTAAGAAAGAAAATTTAGAAATTTTAAAAATCAAGAAACTTTTGGAAAATTTCCTGTGGTAATATATTAATTGAACCGTTTTCCATCAAGAAATTTGTACATTTAACAAGCGATACAAACATGTTGTTAATTTTTGTCAGAATAAAGGTTATTGCAGTTCAAAATTTATAGTTGAAACACTAGTACATCTGGCTGAATCTAGGTTTGTAAAATTATCATATGAACAGTGCTTCGTTACAGGTGCTGATATATGCTATTTTGGGAAAGGTTTGTATCTGAGAGATAAGGTCAACATAAATTTCAGTGAACACAGAGAGTCGGCTTGCTTGCTGATGACAATAAACCTGAGCTGTTTGTCAAATTTCATACAGAGGCAGATCTTAGAGAAGGGCGTGTCCCAGTAAGTCGATAACTTAGTCTTCTGCTTGTCAAACGTAGTCTGTCCGCCAGAAGGGTTATATTCACTCTTGTCAGTCCAAGAAGATGAGTCAAAGTGGAAGGTGGTCTGAAATAATAAATAAATGAATACATAAATGAATAGTTAAATGAGCTTTAAAATAGGCAAATCAAGTAAAATGGACATATATAGTCCATCCTAGCCGCATTCTGAAGGTACTGGGTAATATTACTGAGTGAAAACTGGATCATTGGATAATGCAATTCAAGACTTTTTATTGGCTTAGCCATTATGGTATATGAGCCAATATACCATAACCTAATATCTGTACATTGTAACATCCGGTTTCTTCTAACAAAATAAAGTCGAGAAGATTTGTCTAACATCTTGGGGGCACTTTTTTTAATAAAACAATTATTCCACCCGCAGTTGTTGGATATGAGATGATTATAGCCAACGAGGCGCGTAGCGCCGAGTTGGCTATCTATCATCCCATATCCAACGCGCGCTAGTAGAATAATTGTTAAATAGTGTACGAAAGGATAAACACCAGGACTCGCTTTGAAAAAGAGGCTAAAGGTAATTAAAAAATGGGCTATTGGAAGCAGTTGTTACCTCAGGTAGGGTACAAAGCGCTGTCATCTTATACTGTGTGTTGATAATATAATGTGTTTATAGCTGTGTCCTATCTTAGGGTAGTTAGGTACATAGTTATGAAGGAGATTGTCTGTGAATACTGCTACTTTGCATGCTTTCCAAAATTTTTCAATCGCTTCCGCTCCTCTATTTCTCTTGGTCCACACCATTGTCGAAAGGTAAAAGGTTCCATAAACGGGAAGAGATGAAAAAGTCTTTGATATGGTGTCTTTGATCTGTCTAAGATGGGCATAATAAGTTTGATTGGCTTCTAGAAGTAAGAATTATCACAGATTCTTTCACATTGATACCGTAAAGGAAGAAGAGGGAAAAACGGACTTTGCTTCCATTAATTTTCATGAGCAGCATCCATCTTCCATCTCCACATCCAAAATTTCCCATGTGGCAGAAAATGGGAATTATTTTGGATTCAAGGAGCAACATCATTTCACCACTCGCTTTAGTTCTGAAGAGATCATAAACTATTGTTATTCATTCACATTTTGATGCTAACCCTTAAATTACCACATCTAATTAAAGGTCACGTAAGGGGTGTTATATTTACAGTTCATTATAGAAAAAAACCGTTGCAATTTACATAATTGAGCAATCCAAAACACCTAGCTTTCATGGAAGCCATAATGGTGCAAAATTTAAAAAATCAAATTGCTGCCAACATCAACATTTACAATTTTTTCCACGATAAAACTTGTCCAACCTTAGCAACTGCTGGATAACGATATCAACGCTCCAAACACACTCAATCCAGCAGCTAAAGTAATTCAACATGAACACAAATTCTCCTTCTCTGCAACTCTAGCGAAACACGTCAAAACCAACACGGGATAGTGCTTCAAGTTTAAGGACAAAAACACTTTAGTTAAGAGCGACTAAAAATGGCCGGGGGATTTTGGGAGCTAAATTTTGATCCCCCTTCCGAGAAACTAGGAATTTTTGTTATTTCGACTTTTTTGATTTATTTATTAAAAAAAAGGTATCTTAATCTCTGCAGTGGGTACAAAAGAAGAACAGTGTGATAAAATCATTCTCTCACCATCAAAGGGGCAATATCCTAATTTTAGACACATGTCATTTTTCTGTTTATTCGCATATCTTTGCATAGTTAGTAACAACGTCACCACTTTACCCACAGTCGATCCGTTGAGAATAATTGCATTCACGAATGTATTTATTCTTTAGATCTTGACACGATAAATGAAAGTCTGAACCACTGAACTTTGACTCACGAGAAGTCGTTATATTGTACTCAAGGTAATAATTGCGTAGATATGTAAATTTTAAAGTTTTGCCAATATTGGACGAGGTACTCGAATGTCATTATGATTTCTGATATATCAAACTACACATTTAATAGCGAGTTTATAACGAAAAAGTAATAATACTTCTGTAGAAAAAAAAAACACCCTTGTCAATAGCTGAAGGAAAAAATGAATAAAAGTAAACGCCTAAAAGCACGAGGTGCTTACAATCAAAATACTAATAAAAACAACTGATACTGATGTCGCAATATTATCTTGAATTAGACGTTAACTTACGCTTTCCTGGTTTAAACTTCCTTGCTCGTGGAAACTTAATTTAGTTTCAGAAAAATATGCTTATTTTAAGAAAGCGACGTTGTGGCGAGGGAGATCAAAATACATGCATTAGAGTTCAAGTTAGCATGCCAAACCGGCTCAGTTACGAACTCAGTCGTAGACAAAATGTCTGGCTTTGCAACGTAGAATACCTGATTGCCTTCACTGGCTTAAACAGAAACGAACAAAACAAAAGTATATCCCTGATACTGTGAAGCTAGCTATATATCTGATTTTCGGTGTCATTCTTGTCTTTGAAGCCGCTACTGTTTTTTCCTACTCCAGTGTATAGTGTTTTCCCTCCCTTACATGATACAATTGAGTTTGTACAAGCCAGTAACCTACAAACCTCACCATTCTACAAATCACAGTAAAAAGCAAAACACCAAAGTGACCTTTTGTTTATTTGTTGTTTGTTTGTTCGTTGGCTAGTTTTTTTACTCTCTCTCCAATGTTTTATCTTTACTATTATTATTATTATTATTATTATTATTATTGCTATTTTAGTACTATTATCATTATTGCTATTTTCATTACAGTAACTATTGAAGTCTCTCTGTTTGTTTCTTAGTGTCTGTTTCTTCAACCATCCATGTATTTAGCCGTAGTGCTGGTCCTATTTGCATTTTCCCCCCTGTGGTACTCCTTTTTCTTGCTACTGCACTAATATATAGCCCATAGTTTTAGTGCTCTTATCTCCGTGATCTCCCTCATATTTGCCTGTATTGCCGCAAGGGGATATCCTCCTTTGCCAAATCCGATTTTAGAGTCTCAGCTTTGACAATGGTACTGGTCATTACCTATGATATCAATTCTTCCCTTACAATAGTCTTAATTAGACCTATGATTATCGTGGCCATCTCCATTGAATCCCTCCATGTTACAGTTGAGCTACAGGGAAGCAGGAGGACCAATAAGGCTCTTCCACGTGTCACGCCCCAGTGGTGTGTAGCGATATTTCCGGTCAGCGATCAGTGAGTACAGAGAGTCGGCATCTTTATTAATGACGATAAACCTGAGTTTTTGGTCGATGTTCATACCAAGACAAATCTTGGAGAAGGATTTGCTCCAGTAGGTCGGTAACTTGGTCTCTTTTGAATCAAACCCAGTCTTGCCTCCTTTAGGTTTAAACACCTTTTTATCCTCCAAGCACATAGAGTAGAACTCAAAAGTGGTCTAAGAAAAAAATGCAAAAAGCTATTCCGGATTACCAGCACGAAAGATTACTCATCAGTTGTATCCCTAGTGGTCTTTGCAGGAAGGCACACTGAACTTATAAAAATACGTAACCATACATTTATCGTATTCCCATTCAGCAATCCAAAACACCGTTCTTTTCATAGTTGGATTTTCTAAGAGAGGTTTTATCTCTCTTTTTTCATTAATATCTTTTTTATGTTGTTTTGGTTTTTTTAATTATTGCCTATACAGCTGTAATTTACGCCATTAACGTGAATACAAGTATTATCATAATGATAGTGAATGACTACTGTTTTTTTTTTTTTTTNGACCTGAAAAAAATCAGGCCTGTACGGGATTCGAACCACTGACCTCTGCGATACTAGTGCAGCGCTCTACCAATTGAGCTAACAAGCCAACTGGGAGCAGGCCGTTAAGTTGATTCGTAATAAACCCGTGATGATAAATCAGATACAATGAATATATGAAGTTCATATATTTTGAACTGCGGTATTAAATACGTATGATGCACGATCCTTCGCAGTAGATAGCGCTATTTATGCAATAGCGAAAATCAGACCTGAAAAAAATCAGGCCTGTACGGGATTCGAACCACTGACCTCTGCGATACTAGTGCAGCGCTCTACCAATTGAGCTAACAAGCCAACTGGGAGCAGGCCGTTAAGTTGATTCGTAATAAACCCGTGATGATAAATCAGATACAATGAATATATGAAGTTCATATATTTTGAACTGCGGTATTAAATACGTATGATGCACGATCCTTCGCAGTAGATAGCGCCATTTATGCAATAGCGAAAATCAAACCTGAAAAAATTTTTTAGGAATACAAGAACTCGCACCAAAATGTACCGTCGACTCTTTTAGAGGTGGCCAGATTCACAGAAGAACAGAGAGGATTGTGGAGGCATCCAAAAGTGCAGTCGAACATATCGTGCACTGCGATTGTTCCAATAGAAGGTGCATGTAGATAATGGAACTTTTCTATGTGGAACACTTTCTGTTCAACCGTTAGAAGAAGACTTCGGAAGCTTTTTCCTTCTGGTGGTTCATATAACCCTGTGGTCGAGTAACAATTTAAAAGAAAAGAATGCTCTGTTAATATCCCTAGTTAAGCCACAAGCTCGTTATCATCATTTTCTTGATGAGCAAACTCGTTACTCGTCAGTCATTTATTATTTTGTTTTTCTTACTTTTAACAAAAAAGGAATCGATCTTTTTTCTTAGACTAGGTTTGATAAGTTTGCTCTATTAAATTGTATTTATTTGTATTTTTTTTTCGTTTCTCATTTCCTATTGATTAAATTCACGCCTTATTCGCAGTTTACTTTTAGAAATTGAAGTGATGGCAGTTTATCCGTAGCGTGAAATATGTTTGTAAAGTAATCAAAAATGTCATTTTGTCCTCATGTTTTGTAATATCGTGTTTAAATAAATCATCACAAAATATTTTTGATCATTAATTCATCATTTTCTACTTTCACTTTTGCTTTCACTTACTGATTAATTCATTTGAGTTTGGGTTTATAATTTTCACTTTCATTTCATTATTTATTCATTTGTTTTTTCGATTTGTGTAGTTTTTATCGAAACAACCGGAGTAAACCATTCTTAGTTATCATTGTTTTCCACCTTTTTTGCATCAAATTGTGTGATTCATCAATTGAGGAAATAAAGAAAAAATGGAAAAAAATACAGAGAGTAAGAGACAACACATTTACGATTGACATTCTTCTTTTCTATGCAATTTACGCCAGGAGCCTTTTTCATCCAAGTTTCTGAAAATTTAACTTTGTTATCTAATTGTTCGACGTTTTGTTTGCGCACGAACGCTTAACAGCTGTGTAAGTTCGTCAAGCTTGTATAATAATAAAAAATCGCTAACTGTGACACAGAATTTACCATGCACTCTGAAATTGAAACTGTTAAAATAATCACAAGGAATAGCCCGTTAAGCCCCCTCCGAAACTCTTTTTTGTCAAAAAAAAACAACATCAAAATTATTTTTTTCTCTTTTAATTCTTATTCAAAGCAATGAGATTTTATCTGGAAAACTGGGGATTTAAAGCTTTGGTTCTTCCGCTGTAATCTAGTTTAATTTACTGCGCTATACATTCTTCGTTTATTATGTTTATTTTGCTAAAATCAGAAGTAACGAAATGGAAATTTAATTTTCTAAACATTGAGGCGAATTTTTTGAACATAGTACAGGAGCCATGTAAGCCATTCCAAAAGTTCTACTCGAGAAATTTCCTTTTTTGGATTGTCAAAAAAACATGGTCGAGCAAAATTTGCTGATAATGTTCACCAGTTACAGAGCTATATGCTTTGACAAACTGCCGCTGAAAAGCAAAACAAACATCTCTTCTGTAGCATACATGTTATGTTTTAGCGCTCAAGTAAAGATAGTTCTTTTCTAGAAATGAAATGATTTCAAATACTTGTGCTCACTTTTTTTTTTCCTTTTTTTTTACACTTCGGCGAGCATCTCACTAGTTTTGTATTACATGCTCGACGGTTGAGATAAATTGTGGAAATAAAAGGAATTAAAATTATAACTCACCTTTCGCACGAATTATCAAAGGCATCCACCAATAGAGTAAAAGTGTTAAAATCCAACCATGAGTTACATAGACCATAGCAGAGAGAAGACGTTTCAAGGAACACCCTGTCAGAGCTGGGTACGATAGATTTCGAAAAGTGATGGTAGAACAGAACTAATAGTTATGTCTTCCGGGAATCAATTCGTATGACACTTTGCTCACCTGTCCAGCAATTCTTCGTGTTTATCAGAGGCCAGACGCATGCGTTTACATGCATACTATAAAATAATCGAACCCTCCTGACACAAAAATCAATAGTCATTAGTTCAATAGGATATTTTAGTTACCGTTACGCGGAGGATGATTAGGTATGCTTGGATAAAATTCTAGATGTAGAGTTATTGTGGGGGCATAAAGAAGTATTTGAGAAATTACTTGACGGATTTTTTTTTGATTCGCAGCTTCTATTTTTCAAGTTTTAGGACGAGTTTCAAAAGATAACTAAATAAATTACACGGAATCGCAGATATTTGATATCTTCCCTGCAAATATATCGTCACCTATTAACAAAACACCTGAGTTGATAGTGTAGAGTGGCCAACACAAAGACTCTGAATTTCTAAAGCTGACGTGTAGAGCGTTAGCCCTTCGTCAAAGTGAACGGAGGGATTGTGTGTTGTGGTGTTAATTTGGATAGAATGGAGCTACGCATCGGTAGGAACATGGTAATGTTCCTACTATATGCTTTGACAAAAATAAAATTGAGAAAAATAAAGTCCAGCTTAAAGAGAGTTCAGGCTAAAAGGACAAAAAATACTTTGCGATTCGTTGAAGGGCTGTCACGTAAGAGGTCACGGCCAATCTTCAACTCGGGGTCAGGTACTTCACCTCTTGCGTGACAACCGTTCAACGGATTGCATTACATTTGTTGTCACATTTCAACCTGAACCTGGAGGCAGAAACTTTAAGGATAAAGCTTTGGGATGAAATATATTTTCATTTTTATTTCAACGAAAGACACAAAGTGCATAATTTCAACGGGTCACTATTCAGACTTAAACGAACCACACTACTAGAAATTTATATTTATAAAATGATAAAAGGACCATCTGTTAACGTACATATGCATATTTTAAACTGAGCGGAATTGCATCGCGTTGTGGCGCAGGTAGTTGCCGAAGTTGCATAATTTTTCATTGCTTTACAAAGTGGGGGTGGGGGTGGGGACAGCAGTCTAGATTTATTTTGAACTTTTCGATTTTTCAGAGAAAGTAAAACATGATATAACTTTTTGATATAAGTTTTGAAAGAGGTTCATCGAAACTGCCCTTTAAGAAAGATAAAATGAATTTAAAAATTTGCAAACTGTCGGCGGATTCTCGATATTTGTGGTCAGTGGCTCTTAATAAACATGTTTCAAAGCTGTTTTGTCAAACACGTTTTAAATCTTTCTTTCATAGAGCTACCTTAAACCAATTAACAATTGGTTCATGCTTTAGCGTGCACTATCGAGTTATGGAACACGCGGGAAGTTTGGAGAGCACGAAAGAAGCGTAAGAGTTGCCCGAGGCGATAGCCGAGGGCAACTCTAGCTTCTTGAGTGCTCTCCAAACTTCCCACGTGCTCCATAACTCGATAGTGCACAGCTGAAAGCATGAACCAATTGTTTTAGAACATAGCCGGTGGAATTGTGCATCAAATCCGACGCGAAAAACGGACAACAA